TCTCTCTCTCTCTCTCTCTCTCTCTCTCTCTCTCTCTCTCTCTCTCTCTCTCTCTCTCTCTCTCTCACTATTTAGAAATTCACATAACAGAATTTGGACTCATTAAGTTTGGTAAATATCAATACCAAAATCTTCAGACCATTGGATTCCTTTCCGTATTTAACCATTCCAAAAGAAGAAGTAATTTTCGAAAGTTATGACAACTCATAGAAAAGTGATTCTAGATGCACAAAGCAGCATCAATCCATGTTTGTGAGTTCATGGACAAAGGGTTCTGCTTTGTGGGACTTTGGTTTCCATTTCACCTAACTTAGCTCATGAAGTCCAATCCCACACAGTATCATACCACTCAGTGTTTCTTCTTTTCCTAAGTTCATTCTCCTAGTTTGCCAAAAGACTTTATCTACCTAGAAGAACTTGGTATTCCAATAGAAAATCTTCAAAATATTTCCTTCAGGGTTCATTTCTGCTATGCAATCATCCGATGGTTTTCCTGTATGAAAATATATTGGATTGTACTGAAGAGTGAAAGAGAAAAAAGGATTGAAGCCAATGCAATTTTAGAGCAGAGATTAAAAAAAGGAAAGCCATGGCTGAAAAGGTTCCAATTCATGATGTATTATAAACCACCAAACAAATCAAACTGCAACCAAAGCACTGGCAAGTCAGAATCTAATACACAAGTAGACATCACATCCTTAACTCTGAGTGTGTTACTGTTTAGAATGAAGAATTATCCTTTCTGATATACATACCCAATAGTGCCCTACTTTGTGCCTACCCATACCTGAAAATTAATCTTTGGAAAATTAATCTTCATTCCCAAAAACTCAAACTAAATATTTTCCACAATATCTTAGGCTTTTCAACATGTAGAATTTTTAGATTTTTCATAATTGGTCTCTGACTAGATACTATTCCCAATCACTTACCATATACCTTAAGGGTTCCCTATTTGTGCCTCTCTTCTCCAGTCACCATTCCTCCCTCAAAAGTTCCATATCCATGTCTTTCTTTCCCCAGTTTTACTTTTCAATCACCTCCCCAGGTCACAGACTCTCTTCCCCCACCTAGGAATCCTCATATACAAGTTTTATCTCCCTTCCGCCTCTCCATTAACCTTTTCCTCCATTGCTTCTCACTTCTGCCCCAGAAGTAGAAACAACAGGAATGCACAACATGATATAGAAACAGGTATCTGGAACTCTGGCATTCTCCTTTAGCCTCACATTCTGTCCAGCCATCGATGTAAGAATCTAAGAGTTGTACCAGTCAATTTTTTTTAATGAAACTTAAATATAATATGATATGGTACATATGGTATAGAATCAATGTCACAACCCGGGGAAGATTGGGAAAAGCACCCTGCTGAGTAGGAGAGAGAGACTTGCTTACCTCTAAGCTATGTTCTCTAAATAAATTAGTGCTAACACACCCTTTTGGGAACTAAATATTTTTAAAAATTAAAAATCATTCCAAAGACTCACCCAAGAAATTAGGATACAGATGGTCAATATTATCCACAACATAGTTACACTTGGGACATCTATTATTGTCCTCCAAACTCTGATGAATACACTTGTAGCTATTAACAAGAGAAAAAATAAAATAGCTTGATTAAGTCAGTGATAAATTAATAAACTAGTCACAAAAGCCTATTAGTTTTCTATTCCTCATTTTCAACATAAGTTATCTAGCAGTTATCAAATTTATTTCAGCTTATACTTTTATATTAGAAGATACATAGGGCATTTATTAGATAACAGTATACAAAAGTTATTTTAAAATATTATTTAAAAATAAATAACAAGCCTACTGGATATAAAATTTTAAAAGATATACTAACTTTTAAGTTTATGCAATTTAAACAGTATGTTATATACTATAACAACACCAAGAAAAACAAATGCCTGTAATTTAGTTAAGCAAACAGACTATCTGTATCCTTGGAGTGCTGATATCCTCAATACAAAAAGAGCTCATTCAAATGAAAAGAAAATAAGAGAAGAACAGAAAAATCAGCAAGACAAAAATTAGTCATTAAGCATGAGAAATCATCACTTTCATTAGGAAGAAAAATTGATTTAAAATTATATATTAGTTTTTACCAATCAGAATAGAAAAATAAAGAAAAAACTGTCAGAGTTAAGGAGTACATGCAGATATGAATAATTTCATGTACTGCTGCAGGAACTGCCATTTTCTAGAAGGCAAGTTGTATGGAAAAACTTAAGGCTGTGTATCCTCTTTGATGTAGTGATTTTACTTCTAGGAATTTATCCTATGGAAATAAGCATATATATA